GGGCTGCCACAACAGAGACCCTCCAGTTCCCACAGGATGCTGCAAAGCAGCTTCCCCAGCCCACACCTTCTATTTCACACCCACCCACCGGGCCAAATTCCTCCTCATGTCCACACCTCTCCTCTCCCAGCACCAACACCTCCTCAACAGGGGCTGCAAGCTTCACCTCCCTCAGCCTCTGACGAGAGGCAGGGTTCCTCCTCCTCCGACACTGACCTGTGCAACCATGTGGGTGATGTCGCCGGTGTTGGCTGGCAGCAGGACCGTGTTGGAGTCTTTGGCAAGCTTGGAGAAGGCGTTCACGTACTGCTCGGCCACAGAGAGGGAGGCAGCCGCGCTACCGTGCTGTGGAGAGACGGCCGAGGCTCAGCATGAAGGAGGCTGATCCAGGCACTACCAAGAGCTCAGCCGTACCCGCACCCCCAGCCTGCCCCAGGTGTCAGCAAAACTCTTTGCTAAGATGCCAGGGGGTATCTGCGAGGAAGCCAGGTGCCACCCCAGCTTTGGGATCACCTCCCCCTGCTGGCACCAAAGCTTTGGCTGCCCCAAGGAGCCCTCACTCACCTGCTGGGCCAGGGCAGCCGCCAGGAGCTGAATGGCCTCAGCCTTGGCCTTGGCCCTGACCAGCATGGCATTGGCTTCTCCTGCAAGGAAGCACGGAATGCAGATCAGAACTGTGACAACACGCTTGCAAGAAGTATATCAAGAAAATGTGGTGCATGCAACGCCTCCTTTTCTCTAACAATAGCACTATGATTGTCCTGCAACACCTCTCCTGCTGCCCCAGGCTTTGGGAAGCACCACCAGCTGCAGCGCAGCCCAAGGGTCCCAGCAGGGAGGATGAGAGCAGCTGAGGCAGCCTGGCTCACAGCAGTGCAATCTGCTCCCAGGGAGCACCACCCCCCAGTACAGAGGGTTGCAGATCCCCTGGTGTTCAAGACATGTTCTAGCCAAAGGTGCTACCAGCAGCTTTGTTGATTTGCTCAGCCTTCTCAGCTTCCGACGCCAGGATCTGGGCCTGCTTCTGCCCCTCAGCCACGTTGATAGCAGATTCCCGCGTCCCCTCTGACTCCAGCACTGTCGCACGCTTCCGTCGCTCTGCCTCCACCTGCAAACACAGGTCAGATGCCTGACAGCCACTCGGGGGAATCCCACCCATGGGGCAAGCACAGCAAAGACACTTCTATGTCCCTGCTGGGCAAGGGCAGCTTAGCAAAGGGTAAGAAGACAGCTACCGAACTGAGAGAGGGCTGGTTCTGCTTCCCAGACGCAGTTTGCTGCAGCAGTGAGCCCAAACCACACCACGCCACGCTGCCCCAGCCCTGGGCATGCTGCTCACAATATGCCACACCGACTCCATGTGGGGCACTCGCTGTAACGCTGCTGGGCACCACCAGCTCACTGAAACTGCTCCCACGAACACCCACCAGCCCACATAACCCTCCTCAGTCTGGTCCACACCTAACAGGCCAGCCTGCTTCCCCTCCTCCCCTTCCATGCCTGCCCTGGGCCCCCTTTCCTCAAGGGGAGACCTCCAGCTCTGGGATTTGCTTCCTGCAGAGCCCAACAGGCCCCGGGGATTTTAAAAAGAGCTGGCAGAGCTTGTATGTACTAGGCAGGGGTCACCACTGCAGAAATAAGAATGGGAATTATTTACTCAATAGCTGTGTGCTCACAGCCAAAGTGCCAACAGGCTTCCCTCCCTGCAGGATGGCCCAGAGTGCAGCCAGCTCTGGATGGAGAACAGCCTTGCTTCGTGGAAGAGGAAACTTCCCTCTCATTCCAGATTGCCCACCCAGAGAGACGAACCTGCATCTGCATAGATTCCTTCACCCTTGGGGGCACGTGGATGTCCTTAATCTCGTATCGCAGGCACCGGATGCCCCAGCAGTCTGAGGCTTGGTTGATTGCATCCACTATGTTGGCATTGAGGGACTCACGCTCCTGGCAGGCACAAAAGGAACAGCAGAGAACAAAGGAGAGGTGCTTAGCATGAGACAGGGGTCAGAAGGGAAACAGACACCTCATCTTGTGGGCAAAGGTCAGCCAGAAAATCCCAACTCCACAAGTGTAGGGCAGGGCAAGAGGCTTCCCACATCTCTCGGAGGGGTCACCTTCTCCTAGAAAGGGCAGTGCCCCAAACTGAAATTGCTGATGCAAGCATCTGGTCTACAGCTGGATACAGAGATGTCCCAGGAACACAAACAGCTCCTGCTTCTGTCCCATAAGTGTTACAGCCCCCCTGAACCACTTCAGCCAAGACACTCATCACTGGGCCTAAGCAAAGTGTAGCTGACTTGATGCCAGATGTTGGCAGTGCTGGTATCCACCTCCCCTGCTCACCCGGAACACTCTGTCGAGGGAGAGTTTGCCAAGTTCAGATCTCATGGTGGTCTGGGCCAGCTGCGTCACGGCATATTCAGGATCTTCCACCCCATAACTGGCCTGGGGAACAGAAGCAAAAACAAGAAGAGTCTGTGGTGTTGCTGAAAGGGATCCCAAAAGAGGCAAGGTGAGGAAAGGTTGTGCTAAGATGAAAAACCTGCCACAGACACCCCCATTGATTTCTTCCTCCAAGAGAGCAATCCCAACGAAGGGGATGCTCAGCCCACCCATTCGTGGAGCACAGCAAGCCCGACAGAGGCTGCAGCGTGCATCTCAAAGAGAAAAAGGCCAGGAGAGGCTGGCCACGGCAGCCAGCTGTGTGAGGCTGTGCACGCAGAGCCTGCAGGGCACAGCCACGGGTGCGGGAGGCTGCAAGCTGCCTCGTGCCTCCAGGGTCAAGCTGGGCCCCAGGACAGCAGGGACGGTACCTTGTAGGGGTCCATGACCCGCAGATAGAGCACTCCATCAATCTGCAGGGTGACGTTATCTGCAGGGAAAAGAATGACACATCCTGTTTACTAAAACGGAGGAGAAAAGGCATGGCAGCCCCCCTCTCCCCTGACAGAATTAATAGAGCTGGGCACAGTCATCCCCCTCCTTCCTGTTGTCAACTGTGTAGCATGGAGAGAGGGATCAGCTGAAATAGCTCCTTGTGTAAAATGCTTTGTCAGAAGGATCCCTATATTCCCTACAAAGCGCCTCACTCTGACTTTTAAATACACCAGAAACCTCAGGTGTCAAGATCAAAACATCTCATGCTGTAGCTATCTTAACAGGTAAAAGATTTAGGAGGGGAAAAAAAAAAAAAGAAACTTAACACTAGAATTATAACAGACAAGTCCACCAACCAGATCCAGAATTTTTATGTGTCATTTACAAAAACCCAGGAGATTTTTCCTGGTTCAACAAATGAAAACTTTTGAAATCTGAAAAATTGATTATTGCCTGCTGTATTCATCACGGCAAGAAGTGGAGCAGCCTAGAGAGGCACATGGGATCTCCAAGAGTTCTGCTGGTCATAGTGCCATGGGTATGGGTAAGTCTGGGTCCACAGACATTTCTGCTCAGAAAGAGCAGTCAGGCACTGGGACGGGTTGCCCAGGGAGGTGGTGGCATCACCGTCCCTGGGGGTGTTCAAGGAAAGGCTGGACGTGGTGCTTGGGGACAGGGTTTAGTGGGTGGCAGTACTCAGGAGATAGTTGGAGCAGATGATCTTGAAGGTCTTTTCCAACCCGAATGATTCTCTGATTCTAGGAGCCTGGGACATTTCCTCTCATCCCCACGCTGTCCCTTGTTCACCACAGATGCAGGGGAAGGGAAAGGGCAGGAGGCAGAGCCTGTTCCTTACCTAGGGTGACAGCTGATTGCTCTGGGACATTAATGACAATTTCTTTGAGACTCTGCACGTAACGAATCCGATCCAGCAAAGGGATGAGGAAATTCAAACCCTGCGGAAAAGGTGGGATCAGGCAGCTGAGCCCTGAAGCCAGGCAGAAGTTTGCCCACCCAGAGAGCGCCGTGCAAACAAACCCCAAGTACGCGACATGCTGCAGACGCTTCAGGCAGCGCAAACGCGGTGAGTTTAGGTTTCTCGCTGCTTTTAAAACACTATTTTAATAGAAATTAGTCAACAGGCACCTAAAAGGATGGCAGCCTGTCAGAATAATCCCAGGTGCTCTGACTGAAACCCCATGCAAACCACGCGCCCGGCCGCCGCCACAGGCACCTGCCAGCCCCCAGCAGGGCCGAAAACCATCTCCTTACGGGCTCGAGGATGCGGTGGAACTTGCCCATCCTCTCCACCACCCAGGCCTCCTGCTGCGGCACGAAGAGCACCCCGATGTTGACGGGCAGGCCGGAGTTGAGCCGCTGCGGAGCTGGGGCCAGCCAGGCCGAACGCTTCAGCTGCTGGGCGCGCTGCGGGGACCGAGAGGCACAGCGTGGAGCCCCCTGACACCACCACCACCACCACCACCACCACCCCCCTCCTCATCCTCACCTTCCTCCCCCTCCACCCAGCACCCCGAGGTGCCCAAAGTGGGCTCAGCCCACACAGCGTGGCTGCCCACAGACCCCCCCCACCCCCTTCCCTCGCACCCCACGTTATTCACAAGGGGCCACAACCCCTCCACACCCCCTCCCCAGACCCTCCCGCCCCCCCCCCAGCGGCTCTCCCCCCCCGGCCGCACCCGCAGCAGCCCTGGCGCTGCCCGCCCCAGCATCGCTGCCCCCCCAAAGCGCCGCCGCTCCCCGCCCGCCGCCCCGGAACCTCCCCGGGCCGCACCGCCTCTTCCGGAGCCCTCAATGCCGCCTCCCGGCCCTCCTCGGCGGCCACAAGCCTTATGTTCCCTCCCCTTCGTGTCCCTCCCCCCCTTCCTCGATCCCTCAGGGAGCTGTGCGTGAGGCAGGGCTCGGTCTCCAAACGTTTATTAAATAAAACCCAACACAGAAGTACCGGTGCGGCGCTGCGGGAAGAGGGGCGGAGGGCTGCTGAGGCAGCTCTGCCCCCCCCACACCACCCTTCCCCGTCTCTTCCCCCCCCCCACCCCAAATTTACTGCCTCACACACGCACACACACACACACACGGCGACCTGCGGGGCTCCCTCAGCTCCGGGTTTGGCTCCCTCCTTCCTCTGTCCCAAGGGGTGAGGGGATCCACCAACACGCACCCCCCCATGGTTCAGACATCACCGAGATGGTGCCCAGCGAGTCTCAGCCTCACCCCCACCTTCTAACAGAGCCCCCCGGCTTCTAACACAGCCCCCCGGCTTCTAGCAGGGTCACCCCCTCCCTCCACCTGGGGCCACGGCCGCCCTCGCTGTGCCCTGGCAGCCCCATGGGGCTGGGGGTGCAGCCCCCGCTGTCTGGGGCCTCATCCCGCACCTGTAGGGGGAAAAAAAAGCAGCGCCTCCGATCCTCCACCCACCCAGTGACAATAAATACTAATAAATACAAACTTTTTCCACGCTTTCAGCTCGCGCCCCGGGGATGGGCACGGGCAGCCTCCCCCCTTTGCCTCCAGCCGTGCCTCCCAGTTTGGGGCAGCAGCGGCAAAAACCCTGGGCACGTCCCTGGGGCTGCCCCCATCCCTCCTCATGAAGCCCCCTTGGCGATGGCAGGGGGGCACAGCCGCGACTTGGGGGCAGGTGAGGAGGGTGACACGTGAAGGTGGCAGGGCTTCATCTCTCCTTTACTCATCTCTCCCCGAAGCAGCGGGCTGGGAGCTCCCCGGCAGCCCTGGGGCGAGGGAGAAGGTCAGGCCCAGGGCGAGTAGCAGGGGTTCCTTGGCATCTCCGTGAAAGATTTCAGTTCGTAGGGGATCCCCGAGTCGACCTCGATCGACTTGCGGGAGAAAAGCAGCCGGATGTCGTCGTGAAGGTAGATCTTCCCCGACTTGGAGCTGTGAAACCTGGGAGGAGACTAGTGATAGGACTAGAGGGAATGGCCTCGAGTAGCGTGCCAGGGGAGGTTCAGGTTGGAAATTAGAAATTTCTTCTCAGAAAGAGCAGTCAGGCATTGGAAAGGGGTGCCCAGGGAGGTGGTAGAGTCACCATCCCTGGGGGTTTTCAAGGAAAGGTTGGACGTGGTGCTTGGGGACAGGGTTTAGTGGGTGACAGTGGGGGTAGGGGGATGGTTGGAGCAGATGATCTTGAAGGTCTTTTCCAACCTTTATGATTCTGTGGAAGAGCCTCAGACTTGAAGGCTGGACAGCCTCATCAGGAGGTGGGGACACAACTCCTTCCCCTCCTGTGGCCCCTGGTCAAGGTGGCCACGCTCTGTTTGCCTCCAGAGGGACAGAGGTGGCTGCCATGGGGCAGGAGAACAGCTCCCTGCAGCCCTTCCAGTGCCAACAGCAGCTGGTCCTTGCTCTCCCCCAAGGCTATGGGGTCAGGCTGCCACCCCAGAGGGGGCTGCAAGTTTAGGTGAAGCAGGGACATAGGGAAGAGGGTTAGGGAGCCCAGGACAGGTCTCCATCCCACCCCATACGCCCTACCTCAGGTGCATCAGGTAGCAGAGGACCCTGCGGGGCGGGCTGGTGCCCGGTGGCTCGCTGGGGGCCACGGTGGCCCCTTCCTCCTCCCCCACGGGCACCAGGAAGATGCGGTGGCGCAGGAAGGTCATGTGGTTGGCCGGCATGTCCTGGAAGTCGTACGTCACCAAGAACATCTTCACCACAGTCTTGTTGGGGTTAAATAAGGTCTGGGGGTAGAGGATGGGTAGGTGGGGGGTCAGACTGGGAAGGGCCCAGGAACAGATCCATAGGACAGGGCTGGGGTGTCTGGGGGTGACAACAGAGGACACAAGGGACCAGAAGAGTTGTCCTTGCCCCGCACCAGCCCCAAATGGGCTTTGCCTGAGGCTCAGCTCTTGCCCAGTCCGTGTCCCTCACAGAAGAGCCAGCACAGGTCACTCTGAGCTGGCCCACAGCTTCATCCTCCATTGCACCCACCTCCACTGCCTTATTCCCATCCCATCCCCACTGCACATACACACCCCACCAGCATCATCCTTCCACACATCTCCTGCCCCCTTGTCTTCCTGCCAGCACCCTGGGGGTCCTGTGCTCCCTCCACTGTGCTTTCTTGGTGGCCATGCTGCTACTCTGCAGAAAAAATTCTGGCTGCTGCCCCAGCTAAGCAGCACAATACCAGAGACTCTCTGGATGCCCTGTCCCTGGCAGTGCTCAAGGCCAGGCTGGATGGGGCTTTGGGAAACCTGGTCTGGTGGGAGGTGTCCCTGCCCATGGCAGGGTGGTGGAATTAGATGGTTTTTAAAGTCCCTTCCAACCCAAGCCATTCTAAGATTCTGTGATTATGGAATATCTCCACCCCAGGCAGCAACAGGAGCCCAGCTACCACTCACCACTTGGATGGTTCCAGCTTTGGGGACACTGTAACCCTTCTTTCCCAAGGCCTCCAAGTCAATCACTCCCTGGGGCAAAATAAACAGCATGTGTGAGAGAGAAAGAGAGAGAAAAAAAGCCCACGGAGAGCCCAGCTGGGACGCAGCATGGGGCCAAGACCCCACTTTCTCTTTGCTTTGCAGGTTAAATGTTGCTTCTGGCATAGCTGGTGGTCTCCTCAGACATGTGGCTGCTTGAGCCAAGCTCTCCAGAGAAGAGCAGCCCCTGAGGACGTGCAGTGTCTGGACGCAGCCCTCATTCATCTCCCCCATGAGCTCAGCCCCTGTGCACGTACCAGGAAAGGTGAGGGTGCGCTGTGTTCAGAGATGTCGAAGTAGGTGACGTCCACAGGCAGGGTGGCATGCTGGGGGCAGTAGGAGCCGCTGGCACCGATCTCTGCTGTGAAGCCCTCGATGCGTCCTGACGGTGCAAAGCGCCCCTTCAGGATGGACTCCTGAAAGAGGAGGGAAGAGTCAGGGACTGGAGACTGCCCGCAAGAGACCACAGCTGCTTTTTCAAGGACAGATCCCATCCCATCCAGCCATAGGTGGCCTCAAACCAGCCTTCTGGCACGGCAAAGAACCTGCAGCTGCCACGTCACATCGCCAACGTGCACAAAGCCCTCAGGGACAGGCAACCCAGCCCCACTCCAGCTGCCACAGAAAGCATCCAGCTCCTGTTGGGCTCAGCTTCTCCCAGCTCAATTCCAGCCCAGCCCGAGCCCTCCAGACCCACCTCCCTCCCCAGCAGGACATCACCGTGTGGGTGCTGTTACCTCAAAGTTGCCCAGCAGAGCGTGGCTGACGGTGGTGGTGGCCCAGGGTGCTGCAGAGGAGCGGGTTCCCCTCCGGGGGCTGCTCCGGAGATGTCGCCTTGGGAGAGGAGAGCAAGCATCATCGTGGGGCCAGAGAGCACATCTCCCTGGGGGTGCAGAGCCCTCTCCCCTGATTCCCCTGATAGGGACACGTCCCTCCCACCACCCCTTTCCCTGGTAGAAGTTGAGCCATTTTCCTAACCCCAGGAGCAGCCTCCCTCCACCCCACAGCCCAGAGTCTTGTGTAGGGGAGATGCCCAGGAACCCCACCCGACCCATCCACCCCACAGCAGGCTGTAGGGTGCTGGGATTGCTGCACACCCTGGACCTGCTGTGTGGGGCAGGAGCTGCTGGGACACTCACGATTTGAGGCGCAGCCCGCTCTTCAGCCTCCTCCCGACCGCAGTGCAATCTTCAGAGCTCTGGAAGGGACATAAAATCGAGGAATGTGTTAGGGCATCAAACAGGGACCGTGCACCACTTCTTGCCCTGTCCCACATCCCTGCTGGGATGGCATGCGGGGCAGCATGAAGCACAGAGAGGCTGCAGAGCTGCCCAAACCCAGATCTGGCTGCCAGGGCAGGTCTTTACCCTCCCATAGTGGCTCTGCTGAGGAAGGTGGTGGCAAAACCCAAGACAAGGGTGCAGCACGCAGCCTCCCACCCCGTAAACCACATCTAAGGAAGGGTAACACGTACGACAAAGCTCCCTGGCCAGTCTGGGAAAAGTCCTATCCCAAGGCGATTCATGCAAAATCTGGGCAAAGGGTTGGGCTGCCCACAGCCTGGCTCCTACAGCTGTAGGGTGGGGGGATTAAAACCAGGGCCTCACTGCTGCTTCCTTTTAAAAGTGCCCCCTTTTCAGGGGTTTTCCTTTCTGGAAGCCACACAAAGGGCAGCACAACACAAAGGGATGATGGAGCTAGCTGGCATGACCAGGCTGGAAAACCGAGGGAAGCTGCTGGAGGACCTCACTCTGCAAGGGCAGCGCTGGGGGCAGCCAGGCTGGGGGACAGTCACCAAAAAGGGCACGTGGACAGGGATGGAGCTGCGTGTGTCCCACGCACAGGGCAAACCGGCTCTGAGCAGCAACAAGCCAGGGTGCCTCTGCTTTTGTAGGGCTGGTGGCAGGCAACAGATGTTTCCCAGGGCTGGCCACTATCCACCATGCCGTGGCACTGGGACAGGACAGGGTGCCGTGCCACCATGGGCCATATGCCCAAGAGGGACAGCTCTGGGTGTCTCCAGGCTGTTTTCCCTGCCTCCTCCTACCCCTCAGCGATGCTCACCTTGGCTGCAGGGAGCAGGTGGTTCCAGAAAGGGGCTCCCTTGGCGTCGGTGCTGCGGCAGGCTGTGGGCACCGGGTGGCACGGCAGGGCCCTCTTCTTCCTCGCTGGTGGGGACAAGCTCTCATCCTCGGAGCAGGAGTCGGCCACCACCTCACCAGCAGGCAGCAGCTTCCTTTTGGCTGGGCAGCTGCTGCCGCTGACCCGGCTGCTCCCGCAAGGCGTCTTCTCCAGGGAGCTCAGGCTGCCAGGCTCGGGGCTGAGCACCGCTTGCGGGGTCGGGGGCTCCTTGCACCCGTTGGCCGCCACTGGCCATTCCTCTCCTCCGCTAGCCCTGCTGCAGTGAGCAGGGCTGCTCCCCGGCTTTTCTCTCCTCCCACCAGAGTCCAGCTGGGACGTTTGTGCAATATTGTGCAAATCAAGGTCAAGTAGGTTGTGGCCACTCGCCCGATCCCCATTCTCCCCGCAGCCCGCGGGCTGATCCCCTGGCGGGACGGGACAACCGTCTCTCGTGTGCAAAGTACTGCAAGCCATGTGCTGAGGCCGGGAGGAGGAGGAGGAGGAGGCATCCTGCGGCTTGTCCTCTCTGCTGGCCTTGGGGCTGCGGCTGGGGCTGCCCTCGCAGCGGTGCTCCACCACCCGCAGCCCGCTATGGGAGAAGTGCTGGGCAGAGCCGCACAGGGAGAGCTCCTCCACCAGCAGACCGTCCTCGAAGGCATCGTCATCCTCCAGGGCAGCCTGCCCGGGGCCCCTCTCGCACTTGCCGTCCACCCCCCCTCCACCCCAGTGAGTTCGTTTGGGATCCCGCACCCCCTCCGGAGTTCGCTGCTCGGGGTATCCCCTCTTGACAGCCGGCCGGCTGCCCGCCCGCTGCTCCGTGCTCTCGGAGGAGCTGGAGAGATGGGAGAAGATGGAGACCTGGTAAACCTTCTGGCGCTTGATCTCCGTCTCGTTGTAGCCCATGAGGATGCCGTGGTGGGTGCAGCGCTGCGAGGAAGGCTCCAAGGCCGCCTCTCCGCTGGGTCGGGGCAGGCCGGAGTCGGCGCTGGGCTCCGGGGGCAGGGACGTCTCCGCGTGGATGTGCCGCATGGAGCCTCACTTGGCTGGGCCCCACGAGGAGCTGGAGCCAGGACAGCCCATGCAGCGGCAGGAGGGGGACAGTAAAGTGCCACGGGTGACAGCGGGAGGGCAGGGCAGGAGCTGGGCCCTCTCCCTCAGGATGTCCGAGCGAGCCTCCCGTTATGGGGTGCACTGCAGCGCAGCATCTGGAAAGAGAGAGGAGAGAGGTCAGCAGGGATCAGGGTCCTCCTCCTGCCTTCTGGACCCGTGGGAGGTGGGCAGCCCTGCTCAGACCTCCTTCCCCAGGGATGGGAAGAGGGACCAGCTCGGTGTGGGTTCTGCAGGGAACCCCACAGCATCACCCACCTGCAGGATCAGCGCTTCCCTCCTGGCCTGGGCACAGAGAGGAGTTTCCAGCTGGGCTGGAGGCTACAAGTCTGGGGACAAGCCTGTGCAAGTGAAGAGAAGGGGGCCTGCCCTCTGCCAGGGACCTGCTGTGCTCGTGCTGCTCTGGAGCACAGGAGTCAGGCAGGTCAGACCAGTCCCAGGGGCTCTGGACTGTAATCACCCCTCTGGGCAACAGCAGCCAGATCTCGGAGCGCTTGCCAAAGAAACCAGCCCCAGCCGCATGCACTAAAGGAGGCAGGGTTGGCTTTGAGGCTGCCAGCCCCACAGTGGGGACAGGAATGTGTCTGCCACCTGGGGGAACCTGAATTATTGTCACGGGGAGCTCTGCCAGCTTGGGCCAGAGTCCTGAAGCAGCTGGGTGGCACCAGGGGCTGCAGAGCACATCACAGGTGCCTGCACCATCCATCTCACCCATCCCTGACCTCCTCGAGGACTCAGCCTCCTTCATGCTACACAAGGCTTCTATTTCCACAAAGAGGCTAATGCTATCCTGGGCTGCATTCTGAGGAACAATGCCAGCAGGTCAGCGGCGGTCAGCATGTCCCTGCTGCTGAGGCCACACCTGAGAGGGTCCAGCAAGGGGCCACTAAGATGATTAAGGCACTGGAACACCTCTGCTATGAAAAAAGGCTGAGAGCTGGGACTGTTCATCCTGGAGGGGAGAAGGCTGAGCCACCTGGACGTGGTCCTGTGCGCCCTGCTCTGGGTGTCCCTGCTTGGGCAGGGGTCCCTTCCCACCTCATCCCCTCTCTGAGGCTGCATAACCCCCATACTGCAGCCCTTCCTGGCTGCCCCCACACTCACCCCTCTGCAGCAGAACCCCAGCGTGCTCCGGATCAACCTCCCCGTCCCGCCGTGGGCTGTCGTTGGCACAGCTCGCTGAAGACACCTGCCAGCCAGGCACCCCCCAGAAGCGGCGTGGCTGCCGTGGAATGGCTCCCACCATCACGGTGTGCCTCCGAACCTCTGCGCCGTCCTCTCCAGCTCTTCAGTCTCCACAGCAGCTCTGAGGGCAAAGAAAAGGGGAGATGCAGGAACGGTGAGATTCAGAGGCTCGCCAAGAGCAGGGCAGGAGGCTGGAATCACAAAATGGTTTGGGTTGGAAGGGACCTTAAAGATCACCCAGTTCCAAGCCCCCCGCCACAGGCAGGGACACCTCCCACCGGACCAGGCTGCCCAAAGCCTGGGGCTACCTGCCCGCAGGGTCACACTGAGAATTCAGTACTGAAGTTCAGCCTCTCCCAGATCCAAAGGTCACATGAATCTATAGGTCATCTCTAAAGTATTTTCACTTTACTTTCCATGTAAGCCACAAATACTTTAAGCTCAGCTGTAAACTCTCATATCTTGCTTGTCCTTTACACCCCTTTCGCTTGCCTTCCTGCGTGAAAACCTGTGTGTAGGAACAGATCCCTGCTTCCTTTTGGTGATCGTTCCATGGTCTGCCTTCCAAGACACTGCAGATCACCAGCAGCCTCTGGGCCTCCAGCTAGCCACTGGGCTCATGCCCATCCACCCACAGTACAGGACACTTTCTGGCCCTAAGACAAGGAAAAGAGCTTGCAGTTACCTTCCTCCAGTAAGAGACGCATGGCAGGGATGGCAGAAACCAGGAGCCTGACAACTCTGAGCACGATGCCCTCCCATCAGCCTCCCCCAGAGCAAAGACAGCGATCCTTCCATGCACACAGCTCTCACCTGCTCAGAGGCACCCTTGATGTGTGAAGTAGATTTGCAGCTGCGGCACAGCTCCCTTGTGGTCACAATCCACCAGCACCGCAGCTTTGATGCCTGGAAGAAGGCAAAGAGGAGAATTAATCCAGGCAGCAGCTCACAGTGCAACACCTTCACAGCCTTTGGGCACCTCCATCCTCAGTCCCTTTGTTATGGGGCCGCTCAGGAGCTTTGCAGTCCTAAGAAGCTTTGGGTGAAGGAGAAAATGCTGCCTACCACTGGGGACCACGCACCTCCCTCCCCATGAAGCCTCAGCCATGGAGCTCCCCTCCAGGAAGCCACTGCCTGTGAACAACCTGACCACGAGCACTGCTCTGAAAGCTGGAAACAGCAGGGCCAGGCACACGAACAAAATCCCTGCAGGGATGCTCAGAGGCACCAAATACCCCATTGCACCTCTTTCTAGTACCTTGGTGCAGCAAATTCTGCATTGGTACAACAAACATGTGGCCCGACCTTGACTGCCATAGAAAACGTGCTGCTCCTTCATTACATCTCCAGTAAGATTTGCGATTAGTCCCAGTCTCTCAGAGCAGACCAGCCCAAAAGCCACCTCCATCAGAGCCCGGGGAAGAACAGAGCCAGAACAGAGGTGCAACACGCCAGCTCCCACAGAGCACTCGCAGCAGAACAAGTCAAAGCTGCAGCACCACAACCCCCCTGGTCCAAACCCTTGACAAAAGCTCTTTTGCAAAAGCTCCGCACACCTGGAACAGGGAGAGCTCTCACCACAGGTAGCTGCTTCCCTCCTGCATCCCAGGGCAGGTCTGCACCATGACTTCTGCGGCACGGCCAGCCACTGGGAAACAAAATCAGCAGCCAGCAGCACGAGTCAGCACGGGGCGGCAGGAGAAAGCCACATCCTTCCTGCCAGTGTCCACGCAGGACAAAAGTGCAGATTCAGCCTGCGCCCTTTCTTTTCTCCGACCCACACCCTGCTGCAGCCACAGCCCTTCCCAAGTCCCCGGGCAGGCAGGCTGAGCCCTTTGCTCCCCACAGGCAGCTGCCTTGCAGGAGAATGAGTCTATCAGGAGATGCTGACACCACAAACCCATGCCAGAGATCTCCATGCCATTCACCCGGTGATGCCAGCACAGGGCAGTAGGGTGCACCCCCAGCCTGAGGGGCTGAACCTCGTTTTGCCAACCCAGGGAAACACCAGGATTCCCCATCCCACCCCTAAAAGCACACCCTGGCACCCCTTTACATGCCCTGTAGCTGGGACAGGGAGCAGCAGGAGCACGGCACTGCTCCTCTCTCCTGAATGCATCAGGAGCCCCTCACAGCCCTTCTACAGAGCAACACAGGGACCCCAAACTACTGCACCTACAGCAGGGACAGGGAGACATCCCCTGGACGTCTCTCCCTTCTTCTTCCCCCAGAGCCAGGCATCTCCAGAGCCCTGCTTCTGAAACAGGAGCAGGTCTGGGTCCTCCCTGCAGAGCTGTACAGGTGCCACCCAGGGCTCCCTGTGCCCACACTAAAGGTTTGTTCCCATCTAAGCCCAAGCAGCTGTGATTTTGCTGGTGTTTTGGCCCGTATCAGTGCTCTAAGATAGGACTGAATGGGCTTTGCCTGCAGGAGGAAGCCTGGCAAGAGCTCCTCCTGCTCTCTGCCTTGCTCACACCAACCTCCCAGGCCACCCCAACAGCAACAGGGCCAGCAGGGCAGTCATCTGCCCCAGACCATCGTTCAGACAAGCTGGATGGTTGCTGTGTGGCAAAGCTCCCTCTGTACCAACCACGTTTTGAAGGAGAAAAAATCCCCTTCTATGGTGCTGCAGTGCCACAGCCCTGTTGTGGGTCTCCTGGCACCAGGATCCAGAGCTTCCCCTTCTTCCCCCAGCCTGGCTAGACCTAGGGAAAGGCAGCTTTGGGGGTAATTTGGGGGCAGGACGGGCAGAGCAGTGGGACAGGGGCACCTGGCACTGATGTGAGGAGAGCAAGGGCTGTGCCCAAAGGGACCCAGCAGGACCCAAGACTGTGGGTCTGAGCATCGCTGCCTGGGGCAGAGCACCAAGACCGTGGGCTGGCACAGATGAGAGACCTTCTTGCACCTTTTGGACAATAAAACAATGTCAAGCTGGTGTTTACACTGCCTTCTGCTCCCTCTCCTGGGAAGAGCTAAGGAAACCCTTGCAGCCTCCCTGGGTTCAGGCAGGAGCGGGGCTGGCAGAGAATCACCCACGGTTCGTGCAGAGCACGAGGCAAGAGAAGAAGCGACAGAAACTGCTGGGAGGTGACTGCCCAGAGGATAAGCCACAGCTCTGCCAGTCCTATCCGAACCCATAAAAAGGAAGAAAATGTAACCACTGGACGCGTAAAGCCACAAGGTCCTTGGCACAGGCTGAGAGCGGAGCCTGAGAAGCGCCGGCAGGCGGAAAGTTCCCATCACACGCCTGAAGAACGGCAGCACCAGCAGCAACGCTGGCGTCAGAGGAAGGTTTTTCTGAGGCCTGCAAGGTCAGGTACGTGGCTGTCAGCAGAGATACGGACAGGCGAGGCTGGGGACCACTTCCAGCATCATCCCCGGGCGAGGCGGCAACCCTGGAGAGGAGGCAGTTAGAGGGGTGCCTGCAGGGAAGGAGGAACGGGGTGGAGGTGGCCCCGGAGGTCCCCTGGGCTTCAGGCTGGGGAGGAAGGAGCTCACACCTGGTGGAAAGGAGGGAGAGGGGAGGAGAGAGGGTGCAGAGGGAAGGAGCAAGAAAGCAGGGAGGAAGCCCCAGCCCAGATGCGAAGGGGCCGTGCCCACATCAGGAGTGCGAGCTCCTGGAAGCCACCAGGGACAGCACCAGGGACAGACCCCGCATCTCCTCCTGCCCGATGGCACCGTCCCTCCCTCCCTCCCAGCACCTCGCTGCAGGCTGACAACACCCCTCAGGACACAGCTCCCGAGCGCACAGACACCTCCCGTCCCCACCACGGGCTGGGGTCTGCCCCACGGTGCCGTCCCCATCCCCGCGGGCAGGTGCCGTGGGGAGGCTACGTGGGGTCCGAGCCCTCCCGCTCGCCGTGCTGGGGTAACACAATGAGAGCTCCCCCCGGGGGGCTCGGGAAGCCCGCAGGCTTTACCCCTGCACCACCTGACGCCCCGCACCCGGATCTCCTCCAACACCTTGCCTCGGCATCAGCGCTGCTGACAATAGCCTGCGGCTGGGAAGGGGGCTGGCAGGGTCTGCAGGCAGACCCCAAAGGCAACGGCCACCTGTGCGTGGCTTTCCCCAATACCCAAACCACCCCCCCACCAGCCTCCCCTCCATGCACGGTTGCCCCTCTCCCCTAGGAAAGCACATTCAGAGAATGAAAAGCAGCTCAGCACCCGGCAGGACAATCAGGCTGCTCTCCCCAGCCGGCAGCACCCCCTGCCCACCCAGCCCAGCAGGCTCAAACCTCCGCGATGCAGCCGGCAGCGTCCAGCCAGGAGCCCACGAAACCCGCAGCACGGGGAGATCCCAGGCAAGCAGCAGCCGCTCGGCTCACCGGGAGGACAGCCCAGGTTGAGGACAGACCTTTGTCTCTGCCTGCCTGTCTCGCAGGCTCGCTGCTGGAGGAGGAAAAGGGGGGCGGTGGGGGGACAGCGAGCAAAGATAACACCCCTAGGAGGGATGTCACAGCCACGTTAATCACTTGGAATTCCAGCCAGCGCAGACCCGGGCGCTGCAAATATGGGCAGCAAATGGAGATGCTCAAAGCTCTGAAATAATTGGATCCTTTCACAAGAGCCGAGCCCAGAATCCAGCACAGGAATTCAGTCCCCGCTGGAAGTCGAGAGATCAAATGCGCGGAGAGGAGGCAGGCGCAGCACACGCAATCCTCAGCCGCCGCTGCCGGATCCGCAGCCCCCCACGCCGCTCTCCTCTCAGGTGTCTGCCCGGCAGGAGTGATGGCACGGGGACGATGGCCACGGCGAGCCCCGCGTGGAGCCCGGCTGGGGACCGTGCCCTCCCCATCCAACTTACTCCACTTGTGGCAAGGTGCAGGAGAGCTGCCAAGCAGACAGGAGGCTTATCGGAGGAAAGCGGCGGCCTCGAAGCCTTGCTCGAGGGGCAGCCCATGGGAGGGAGACCCCCGGAGCTGCCCACCAGCCCCCGCGGGGCGATGCGCAGCCCGGCAGGCTTGGCAGCCCTTGTCACGTCCCCGGCGAGACGCGCTCACGGCACATGCAGGCTCCTGCTCAGCGCCTCAACGGCGATGAAAAGGCACGGAGGCTTCTGCCAGAAAACAAAGAGGCAGCGGCAGAGCTGGGGGTGGGGAAAACTCTCCGCTGCTGCCCAAGAGGATCCCTGCGGAGGCAGCAGGATGCTGACGGGCTGCACCGCAGCTACTCACCCCCGCGAGCACCCACCGTGGCACCCGCTCGCCCGGCGGAGGGAGGACGGAGGGTGGGCCGGCCTCGGTCCCCTCCCCGAGGACGTGTGGGGTGGGAAGTGCTGCAGGACGCAAGCCAGGCCCAGGACAACAGCTGGCCACAAGGGGAAAATTCCTCCGGGCTGGCTTCGCTTCGCCAAACCCCGTGTCTTTCCCACCTCGGGGTAACCACCGTGCGCCGCCACTCCCGAGGGGAAAGTGCAGCCGGCACCAGGCGTGCAAGTTTTATGGCGAGGGGAATCTGCGGAGCTCAGCACCGTGCAGGCTCCAGAGTTGACCTTGTGGTGGTGGTTACCCCGGGGTGACAAAAGAAGTGCCACCCCATGCAGGGACACAAGGGCAGGCTCCCCTCGCTGGTCCCATGGGTGGCAGCCCGGGGAGCGGGGACTGGTGGCTCCATCCCAGCCCCTGGTGCCAACTGGAAGCGATGGGCAACCTCCTGCTGTTTGTGCTTACAAAGCTCACAGGATGGCAGAGGGCAGGGAGCACGACTGCTCAGCACACTGGCCGTGACCGGGGCACCGACGTGCTGCCACGTGTTCAGCAGGACACTCGTCCAGGGGAGGCATCCGCCAGGTCCAAGCAGGACTCGGTCACCACCACGCTAAGTGAAGCACAGGCATTAGGATTAACAGTCCTCTCGGCCTGACTATCTGATGTGCCAGGAGGAGGAATAACACCCTGGGGTTGGTTTATGCTTGCATCAGAAGCCCTGGGGAACTCTATCCTGACCTGTTTAACTTGACCCTAAAGGAAAGGCGAATCACTTACTGGTAACTCCCATCCTGTCTGCTCCCTGTGGCAGGGAAACATGACCCGAGCGGGCTGCTTGAGCCCCCGGCGGGGTGCTGTGGGGCTGTGGGCTGAGGTTTTGCAAGCTGAGGGATGTCAGCACGGCAATCAGCGGGTGACAGGAACCTCTTTGCTCACACCTCAGCTGCCCCCTGGCCACCCAACACTCACCCCTGGCCACCGCTGCACACAACCACAGCCATCCACCTTCCTCCTCACCGTGCCCCGAGTCCCTGCAGCCACCCACACTGCCTGATCCTCACCTTCCCCACACCCTCTGCCCGGCAGCCTGGCTCTGCATCCCCTGCTGCATGCTGTTTTTCACTCTCACCCCACATCCCCGTCCTCCGCAGCCAGCAGACCCTGTTTAGGTGCACCCCCTGCAGGTCCCCCATATCCTCAGCTCCTCACCCGAGCCCTGCAGCTCACACCATAACCTACACCACCACACACACACCCCACCAGACCCAGTGACGAGCCCCCAGCTGGCACAGCCATGGCAGTGTCACCTTTCCCCTACCTGCCCTGCTGCTCACCACGTCACAGAGAGTCCCGGGGATGCTGCATTACCCGGAGCAACTCCGGGCAGGGGTGTCAAAGCCACAGCTGGGAAGATGGAGCAGGTGAAGCGGTGAGGAGGGCAGCGCTGACCCGTGGGAAGCGTCCCTGCTCGCCACCACCCCTCTTGCAATACACTTCCTTTTACCGTAAGAGCCCTCCAAGGGAGGTGCTTGGGCACCGGCACCCGGCTCGGCGTCACCAAGCTGCAGCCTGTAGATAAGGCAGCAGGGACATCCCGTATCTCTTCCACTCCCTGTGCTGGATGTCTGAGTGGCACAGGAGGAGGAGATACCACCTGCACCCGACTCATCCCTTCCCAGCTGCGATTTAGGGAGTCTCCAGGCTGTGAAGGCCAGAAGCAGGGACACAAGCTGGGCAGGAATTCAGGGTGAGGTTTTGGAGGTGTTTGACTGTAAAGAACTGGATGTGTCCAGGAGGGCTGCTGCGAGGAGGGGGCATTTCCACCAGGAATTTGATGTTCTGTGTCTAGCCAGGAAAAGGCAAAAATCTCTCCTTCCAGTGAGGACTGAAGATAAGAGAAAAACTCTCTGCTGGCATTAGGAAAAGGGTGTCACAGCTGTCATCTGAACACTCCCACTGCGAACACACGAGCGCCCAAGCCTCTTTGAAGTGCAACAAGAGGGCCTGGGGTGCCTGCTTCCAGGCATACTCAAGCCAGCAGGGCAGCACCAGCTCCTGCTTCACCCCACGGAACCCCCAAACCCCGTGGCCCCAAACCTCCCGTGCACCCTGCAGCTGCACGCAGTGGGGATGGCCTCGGGATGGAGGTGCTGGATGCAGATGGCAGCATCGAGGACACCAAGGCCTGTGTTTTGGTGGCAGAGGACCTGCCCAGGGTTCAAGACACAGCCACATCAGACAAGCCTCCTGCACAAGACACGAGTTCCCACATCTGTCCCTACAACATGAAGACCCCCCTGAGCAAGCTGGGCTTGCTGCTGCTGCAGACCATGGCTTGCTGTGCTGCTACAGCCCAGAGATCTCAGAGAGCAGCTGAGCCATCACCAGCAGGTGCAAAACACCAACCCTGGTGGCAGCTATGTCACGGGGGACACAGACATCCCCCCAAATCTGATGTGCACAGGGAGCCCGTGAAGGAACCGAGAGCTCTCCACGGACCACCAGACACCAGCAGGTCCCCGGCCATGCAGTGACTTACCCACGCAGCTGGGAGGAGATTTCGGGGGCCTGTTGGCTCAGATGAGTGGTCCCCACTTCTCCTGATGCACGCGTGTTGTAACAGGGACATCCAAGTAATGCAACAGGGCCCAGAGCTGGGTTGAGCAACAGGCAGACGGCACGGAGAGGCGGCCAGGGGAAGGGAGCGCGCAGCACTCACACCGAGTCGCAGCCCAGCAGCAACGAGCCCATGGGAAAGGCTGAGATGAGCAACTTGAGAAGGGAGCTGGGGACAAATGTGGGCTCGTGGGAATGTCCTAGACCTTGAAAACCCACATGAAAGTGTCTGGGGAGCCTGAACGCCAGGGGCATCCTCTGCCAGATGGGGAGGCACATGGAGCTGTTGCTGCAGGTCAGCTCTGCCCAGGCTACACGCAGCCCCCTTTGCTCTGTGACTCTTGCAGACAGGACAGGGAAAGCACTAAAAACCCTTTTGGCACTTGCACGTGGGACTCAGGCTTCTGGAGCATCAGACATCAGGGTCAAAGCTAGGAGACTCAATAAATCGCAGAGCGAAGCTGTTTCTGAAGACAAGGCTGATGAAGCTGCCAGCAGCCAGCCTCGCAGAAGGACAGGATCAGGAAAAGAGCAGCCATGAGAATAAAAGGCTGGCAAAGAAACAGAAAATACTGGGAGCAAGTAATTCTTTCCAGACAGTCCTTTGGGCTCATCTCAGCCTCCATCTGCTCCCTATCTGCTCGGGATGGTCAGGCAGCTGGAGCCTTTAAAAAGACTACTTGGTGACTTCCCCCTCCAATTGTCACCGTGTCCGGGCCTGGGACAGGCACCATGGGGACGATAACCCCAGAGCCCCTCCAGCTGTGGAGCTGGGGGCTGGCTGAAGTGAACCAAGCCAGGAGAAGGGCTGGTGTTTGCTGTGCCACGGCCAGGGGATGGACAAACACACCTCCGAGCCCTCTGTGCACCTACAACCATGTCAGCCCTACACACCATGAGCTGCTACATGGCCAGGTGCCCCGAGGGCTGCAGGACCAGGCAGTGGTGCAGGTAGGATGGGACCTCATGGTCCAACCCTGCTTGGAGTGGGGCAAACCTCGAGCGAGTTGCTCGGGGCTGGCCTCGCCGAGGGCTGAGGCTCTCTGAATCTGGAGATTGCTCCCCCTTCTCTGGGCCCTGCTCCAGAGCTCAACTGTCCTTTGGGGAAATATTTTTCCTGATGTCTCACTGGAATTTCCCTCGATGCATCTTGTGCCACTGCCTCTTATCCTGTTCCTGGGCACTTCCCAGGAGAGCCTGGCTCCGGGCTTTTTCTCTCCAAAGCCCTACCAGGCAGCAGTGAAACCCTTTCCCTCTCCCAGGCTGCACAGACCTGCAGCTCTGACTGCCCCTCTCCTGTCCTCCAACCCCTCATCACCTCCACGGCCTCATCTTGGCTCACCCCAACCTGCCTGGAGCCCAAAACCTCCCAGGGCAGGAGGAAGCCCTGCAGGAGAAACAGGGCAAAAGGTTAATCCGCAGAGACTGAGCTCCGGGGTGAGAAGCTGGCCAGCAGGAGGGAGCAGTCACCCATGGCAGGGAGGGACACCACCACCTCCTGCCCCAGCTGGAGCCTCCTGCAAGCAGGCACAACTCAGCAGCCTGCTTGTCCTTCCCTTCCCCTCCTCACCTCACCTCCAACAGGCTCAGCAGATGGACACGACGCAGGGCCAGGGCTCCTGGGGGTCTCTGGAGGGTGCCGGAGCCTGTTGATCTCCATCCCTCCCAGCCAAGGGTAAAAAGGCAGGACAGGAGGTAACCTGGAGCCAGCTGCAAGCCTACAAGACCTTAGGGGTGATGAAACAAGAGGCTCCCCCAAGCACAGACCAGCGCGGGGTGTTTTCCCTTCAGGTATTTGATCTATGGCTCTGGTTGTCGGAGATACCGAGTGCCTGCTCCAGCACCTGCTGCAGAAATGCCCAGGTGGGAATTCCAAATGGAAATGGAGCCCAAACTCCAGGAAGTTTGGCCCTAAATACACAGTGATTTGCTTTCACTGCTGCCCCTACTTCCACCGTTCCCATGGGGGACCAGCCCTCAGCCATGACGAGCGGGACCACCACGAGTCAAACTCAGCAGAGACCAGCTGGGCTAGGTAGAAATTAAACAGCCCCGAGCTGGAGGAGGTGAGCAGCCATCCACAGCCCCCCAGACACCCCCCAGGGTCTGCAGCAGTGCCGGAGGGGCACAGATCACACAGGATTTCTGCAGCTGTGGCCCAGAGCTGTACAGCATCCTCCCCAGCCCGGCTCTTCCCCCTGGCTTAATAAAGACCTACCTCTTATCCCTCTCTGCCCCCTTTTTCCATCCTGCCTCTCCCATTCTCTTAGCGTGGAGGGGAAGGTTACCGGGCAGGACCCAGCCAGGACAGAGACCTGCTGAGGTTGCCCAAGGTGCCTGCACACCCCACTGCCTCCCGGAACAAGGGCTGACCCTTTCCAAAAGAGGCTGGGGTACCCTGACACCGCTCTGCTCCCTGCAGTGCTCGTCTCCAGTCCCTCCAGCAGTGCCTCCAAGGGCACGGACACGTACCGGCGGTGAGACACGAGCAGGGACCTGGTGCAGCACACGGCTGAGCTGGATCCTTCCCCGTCTCCACTGCTCTGCTTCCAGAGCCCTGAGGCTCCCCCAGCTCCCAGGGGTACCCAGCACAGGCTGCCAGCCCTTCGGGCTCCCGACAGCCCTGGGATGGCACCTGCCTTCTGCTTCCCGCTGACTCACCCCCCTCTGACTCACCTCCTCCTCCTGCCTGACTCACCCATTTTTACCAGGGCCGGCCGCGGGCGTCAGGGCAATGCCACAAGCTCCGTGAGGCAGCAAACAGGGCAGGGGAAGTGGTGCCAAACCCCCCTTCTCCCGCAGCGCTGGCTCGAGGCCACGTCGGGGCGGCGGGGCCAGCCAGGAGTGGGAGCGCTGCCATGCGCAAGCACGGCCGAGATAAGGAGCGAGGCCGGGGGCGGGTTTCCTCCGGGCTCCGAGGCTGCCTTCCCGGCAAACCTGGTGGTTTTATCAGCCCTCTGGCAGCCTGACCCCACCTCTGGCTGCGGGAGGGACACCCGGTGGACCTGCCTTGGGTATAGGCTGACATGTGTGATCCTGTGCTGCGCCTCTTCCCAGTTTGGCTCTGCGGGGTGGAGAGCTTCCTCGGCTGATCCCAGGCTCTGGAAGGGACCGAAGCAGCCAGAGGTGACAAAAGGCTGATCGCCCATCACTGCTCCTGCTGGGGAGCGGCTCTGCAGAGCAGAGCACATCCATCAAGGAGCACACGAGGGAGAGCAGGCACGCAGGGAAGACACGGATCCGTGCACACGCCTGGGCTGCGGAGCTGCGCCTCTCCCTGCTGCAGCCTTGTGGCTGGAGGATCCATCTCCCACCGAGAAAATCTGCCTTCCCAGGGCAAAGAGAACCAAATCAGGCCACCCTGCTTCTCCTGCAGGCTCCCATCAGGATGCTTTGCTCCCCAGGGGCAGCAGGGTGGGAGATGCACAGTGCTCACCGCGTGCTATCAGCGTGGCCAAAGGCACAGCCAACACCACGGTCACGGTGCCACCAAGGTCACAGCACCGGGTAAGCGCCTGAACAAACCAGCAGCCACCAGCAGGACAGGCCCAGCAATTTAAATGCACATGCTGAAAGCAGGCTCTGAAAAGAAGGGCTTCCTGAACTGCCAGCAGAGGGATTTATTCACCCACCTTTAAGTCAGCGGCATGGTTCTGCTGCTCAGGTGACGTCAAAGGGCAGCGTGAGAAGTGAGGATTTTGGGCAACGACAGAGGGAGAAGTTCAGGCTTTCTGAACGCAGATGCTAAGCAGCGAGAAGTACGTGAAGTTGATGAAACAGTTCCTGAAACGGTTCCTGTTAACAAGGGCAGGCACACAGATTGCTAGTCTGACAAGGAGCCATCTACCAAGGTCAACAGAGGACATTTACCATCTCTCCAGGAGCCCCAAACCAAGCCTTTCATTGCTGGGCTCCCCTTCCCACAGTGGCTCTGTGCTCCCCACATCTCCCTTCATGGCGCTTGGAAAAAAACAGAGCAGCCACAAGGCTGCTAACGTAGCTGGTGGCTGCAGCGACCCAGTCGGAGTTGCCAGCACGAGGACAGAGGCTGTAAGAGAGCCTGTTCCCCTCCCAGCATCTCCTCCTGCCAGGACTCAGGGAGATGAAATAGCTGGAGCTGGCACCCAGCGCTCATGGAGCATTCCCTGGGACCACTTTCCATCTCCTAGACAGAGCCCAGTGAAGCATCAGCCCTTTGTTCCAAAAATCACATCCAAGGTCACCCGATCCGATGTAAGGACCAGATGTGGAATTTCTTTAAATAAAAGCTTAGATTAGGGAGCATACCCGTGGCGAGGGATGGGGTGGAATGGCCAAGCGCCTGCTAACCCAGCCTGCAAGTTTTAAGGACAAAGCTTCCTTTTCTGGTCAGTAACACAAATCCGAGCTTGCTAAAATTGGAAAGCCCACCGTGTGGCTTGCAGCTGG